GGACAAGTCAATGTTTTGGTCGTGGGCTAATCGTATGTCTCCATCTTTCTTGCTAATGACAACGTGAATTCTACACATCATGGTAAGAGAGATCTATCACATAAGAACAAAACGAGCGACATAAATCTCACATCGCTACCTAGATGCTCAATCATTCATTCCACCTTCCAAATTTTAATGCATATCAATTACGATCACTGAGTAATCAATCCAAAACATCCATTGGTTCGCAAACACATGATAATTGAACACTTGCACAAACCTAATGCATATCTCAATCATCGTCATAGGTTGTTCTCAATCACAAACAAGTCATCCATACATCGATGTTAATAGCCACGATATTCAAATCAAAACACCAAAAGTGCCACTATGATCATGCAAATGTAGAAGTTGTTATGCTTGGAGCCCTCGAATTTCTTAAAATTTTTGGGCATTCAACTAGGCTCCAAAGTATTCTGAATCACACCAATCATTCACACACAGGCATAATAGAATACCCCCACCCCCCACCACACACACACACTTAACCTTGACATTGCCCTTCAATGGCATAAAGTAAGGAGGTAGAATAATGTTACCGGATATGGTGTGCGTGTTGGTGGACGAGATTGGAGGTCGGGTGGGATCCGGAAGAGCAAGGAAACGTCCAAACACCAAAAACTCCCCAAAGCTTGTCTTATTGAAGAGAAAAGAAACAAACCAAACTGATGGGATGGGTTGCCTCCCACAAAGTGCTTCTTAAGAGTCATGAGCCGTACGGTGATGCTCAAGTCTCGATTCATCCCAAAACCTCATTGAAGTTGAGGTTCTCATCGGGGAGGTAGTGTCTCAAGTCATGAGCATTGGATGCTTCAAATGATGTAGATGGCTCGTAAACTTGGTGTGAAATGAGGCCCCACCCACGAGACATCTTCTTCTTTCCTTCTTCATTCTTCTCTTTGCCCCATACCATGTAGGAAATCATCGATTGACCACCATCACATCCACCAAGAGAGATAAATGATGGTTTGGATTTGTCTTTGCAAAGAGCCACAAATGGGTCCTTCTCCAAAAGTGCATCGAGGTCGAGTGGAAAGCATTCGTAGCACTTATAACTTGTAGTTGTAGAAGCTTCATCCACCACGACCTTATCCTCATCTTGGACACCACTTCAACCTCAACCTCCCTTCCTTCTTCTTCAATTTGTTCCTCCCCTTGGGAACAATCAATATCTCCCACTTCTTCAACACTTCCTCCTTATCAACTCTTCTTCTCACCTTTTCTCGCTCTTCCTCAAGCACACAACAGAGAGAAAGTTTCCAAGCAGTTTCTTCAATATGCTCCTATTGTATCTCCTCCTTTGTGCATAAATCTTCAAAGCCCGGAGCGAAAGACGGAAGAATGTGGTCTACTACCAAAGCTCTTGATTGCTCAACATCATCCGAGAGCTCTCCGGAATGAGTTCTTCTTGTTCCCCAAAGCCCTCATGGATCTCATTCTCGGCTTCCTCTTCCTCTTCAATTGGCAAGAGGATATTGAGAGCAAGTTGTGAACATTCTTGCTCAACAATCCCTCATAGCCTCTCCGAGTGGTGAAGGATCTCATTTGATGTTCGTAGGAAGAATGAGTCGATAGGGGTGGTGGTTTCCACATTCGAGCATGCTTACGTCCCGCGTGAACCGCTCCACCACGAGCTCCAATTGACTCTTTGGCTCCGGTTGTGATTTGACACATGGTCTCGAGAAATGCCCCATGAAAGATTCCATGGCCAACTCCAACTTGGATTTGACTCCGGGTTGTGGAGGGAACTCTTCTTGATACCCCCATTGGTATGGTTGTTCTTCTTGGAAGGGAGGTTGATCATAGAACCTGGTTCCTATGCTAACACCCTATTGATTATTCCATAAAGCTTCGGGGTACCCCCATTCGGGTGGTTGTGGATACCCCCACATGTTGTAGAAGCCATTGGATTCGATGATTCAACCTACACAAACAAAAACACTAAAAAGAAATCAAACAAACACAAACCACCCTTCAAGATGAAGAGTGGGTCAACAAAATGATAGAAACCAACTTCCGTTCGGTTTCTATAATTATTATTATATTAGAGTAATTAGTCTTTTAGTCGTATTATGTTAATTGTTAGGGTTTTATGGTTCTTTCCTATATATGTACGTTGTTATTCGTCTATTCAATCAATAAGAAGAATATTAAGAAAACCCTTCCAAACCCTAATCTCCCTATCCTCTCAATTCTCGTTCTCAATCCATCTAAAGGCCTAGGCCGATTCTGTTCTTCTTCTTTCCCAAATCCTCAATCTAAATCCCTAATTCTATCCCCTAATCCCTAAATTTCCAACCAACCAGCACTATCGATAGAACCCTAGAAATAGGTTTCTATCATTTGGTATCAGAGCTCGGTTACGAATACGAGTTCATCATAACTCTCAACCAGGGCGAGTTCTACAGCCTGTTATCGGCACTCAAATCAAATCCATCTATTGCTTCCAAACCTAGTTACGTCGGCAATATAAGAATCCCACTGTGGAATTATTGTACTCAAAGGAAAAGGAACTAGTATTCCTTATTGTGGTGCACCAGCAGAAGGTTTGGGGTAGGGATTTGTTTCCCTCTAGAAAAGCTCCGGCAGTGCTACTGTTATCATCTGCGGCAAGCTTTCCGGTTTCACGTCGACAACATTCCTGTGACCATGGAAATAAGCTCTCTCGAGGTCCTTCCAGCGGCGATGAAGGCGGTTGAGGCCAGCCTCACTCAAGCAATCACTCAACAGTTTGCAGAACTCCGTGCGATGATTGAAGACCTCGCCCAATCCACCACCGCCAAATACCAAGCCCTTGAACAGCGGGTTGAAGCGCTTGAATGGCTTCCAGTGCCGGCTACCACGACTGTAGATATGCCAATCACTCCACCAGCACCGCCTCCGATAGGGGACAAGGAGATGATGAAGGTTGTCGTCCCGGATGGCTCTAGCATTCCGAAAGCCACAGCGACGATTCCGCAGCTTGGCAGGCAACCACTCAAAGTTGGATTTTCAATGGTCAGTCGCCGTGGAAATCACATCAACTCAGATCCCAACAGGCAGCTCGACGACAACTTCGGCGATCAACAAGGCACCTACTTCTACATTACGCATCAAAGGAAGTTGGCAAGCCAGGATATCTCGGTCGATTGTGACACTGTGCCGGGCTGGGTTAGGCCAATTCGGAGTCCATATGAGCCGATTGGTTATGGGTCAAATCCCTCTATCAAATCTGCACAACCAAGGCTGACAATACCAGTCCAGCGAGGTGAGCCAAACTCGAACCGACAATGGTTCGATCCAATGGACCAATATGAGTTGAATCACGATTCAACAGGGTGAAGCAAACATGATAATTATCGTGTCTACTATGGCCGCGAGACGGCATTGTTAAAGCCAGGACATGTGTATCCCGTGGAACAGAGCTAGAATGATTCCTATGAAGATGAACGTGAGTATGATGACGGGTATTGGCCTCCGCCAAGGCACTTCGACGATCGCCACACGCGGCCAATCAAGACAAGTGCACGACGATTCAGCCGCGATGACAAGAGCGGGTTCATAGGCCGCTCGAGTTATAGAGACAAGGGCGGATATGGCTATCATGCTCCTTTGGGCTCCATATATCGATAGGATTAGTAGTATTATTTTATTTCGTCAACCTTGTCGTTGGTCTCTAGGGGGACGGGATGATAGAAACCAACTTCCGTTCGGTTTCTGTAATTATTATTATATTAGAGTAATTAGTCTTTTAGTCGTATTAGGTTAATTGTTAGGGTTTTATGGTTCTTTCCTATATATGTATGTTGTTATTCGTCTATTCAATCAATAAGAAGAATATTAAGAAAATCCTTCCAAACCCTAATCTCCCTATCCTCTCAATTCTTGTTCTCAATCCATCTAAAGGCCTAGGCCGATTCTGTTCTTCTTCTTTCCCATATCCTCAATCTCAATCCCTAATTCTATCCCCAAATCCCTAAATATCCAACCAACCAGCATTATCGATAGAACCCTAGAAATAGGTTTCTATCACAAAACACAAACGAAACAAAAAACAAAACAGATAAAGTAACAACCTAAGCCTTTTTCTTATAACCTAGAATTTTCACCGGCAATGGTGCCAAAAATTTGACTCGACTCTATCTACACATCCTAGTGACGGCCAAGCATAACCAAAAAACGAGTGTATCGTAGGGTAAGCAAGCAATAAAAATATCGAACCACAGGCCACTTGTCTCTTAGGTGTAACTTCGTTCGGGTTAAGGTTCCGTTATCTAGCCAACCTAGATTAGTGATTAAGAAACTAACCTATCTACACTAACCTAACCACTAGCCTAGCTAATTACAAGTTGTGGAGCTCACTTAGCTTGAATCCCGATAGTTCTATCATTTGGACCGATGTTGAGTACTATCCGAGCTCCCTCGAGTATTGACCCGGAACGGTGTAGCGGTGAATGACAGTGCTCTATTCAACCTAGGATTTTATGTACCGTCAAGACATCAGCTCTATCAACTCCTTTAGGGATTACCCTGAACGACATGTGATAGAAGTGACCGAAGACGCCAATATGAGCTCTAAGGGGATTGTCTCCCTTCTAGGTTAAAAGCTCAATTGACATGTAAAACTCCTGTAATTCATGAAAACCATCCATCAACTAAATAAATTCAAGAGGGTTAATTGCATGGTTGGTCACTGAGATTACAAAAAACGTTCAAGTTTGGACACTCGAAAAATTTCTACAAAAAAAAAGAAATATTTAAATCCATTGGTGGTACTTCAGTTTACTGAAACCGTTCACGTTTGGTCAATCTCCATCCAACTCCGTTAGCTTTGGCTGATGTGGCAGTCAACTCTCAAAGTTGACCGTTAACTTAGTGACGTGGCAATTAAGAAATAATGAATAAAATAAAATTTAATCTATTTTAATGTCCAACTCATTTTTATCATAAAATAAATAAATATATTATAATTTATACAAATAGCGAGAGGTTCTTCTCAGTGCCAATCATCCACCTCACCCGGTGACGCCATCCGCCCCGCGGTCACAGCTCCTCGGGGCTCCGCTGCCGCCACCGCCGGGATGTGCAGACGCCGGCTCGGGGGACCTTCATCGTCAGTTTCTTCTGCCTCGGACGGTGGCATAGGAAGTTTCGACGGGAACTTGCTCCGATTCTACATCGACGATGCTCCTAGGATCAAGATCTCCCCCACAGTCGTCCTCGTGCTCAGCATCTGCTTCATCGGCTTCGTCACCGCTCTCCACGTCTTCGGCAAGCTCTACCACAGCAAGCTCGTTCCTCCGGGAGCCCAATATTAAGTACTTCCCCCTCGATAGCTTACCTTGTTGAGTTCGTAAGTTAGAATTTGTGGTCATCTTTGTGGGTTTTCCTCTTGCTCTATTTTCCCCACTGTTGTTAAAACCGGACCGGACTGGTCGGCCTGATCGGGAAAAACTGAACATGTCCATGATGTCTGTTTCGATGGCACAAAAACGATATTAAATCTGGTCAGTCGGGTATTTACCAGTTCGCCCAGTTAACCGGTAACACCGGCCAACCCGAACTGACAGTTTGGTGGCTTTTAATTCCTAAATCTAAGGGGTTGTTTGGATGGATTAATTGATTGTGTGGTATTTGTATGTTGAAATAACTCATAAATTGCAAATGTGGTATTTGTGTGTTATTTGAAAATTTTGAGGATTAGATTGTCTTGTTTGGATGAACCAAATGGATGATTTATTTTATATGTGGTATTTGATAAGAAAAGTAAGAAAATACCATAATGCCCTCTTCATATATTTTAAAACCCATTTGAAATCCCCAATTATTAGCTTCAATCCCTTCTTCTATGAGAACATATTGTTGCTGCAACTGCTAGATTACAAGGGATTGCAAACCATTCATAAAAGAAATAAAGCAACCCATTAACATATCACCACTACTGCTCGACTCCAACAAAAACCATTCACAAATGGCTGCAATTGCTCCACAATTCCACCACCAACCATTCATATCTTGTTGCATGTCCTCCACGGTGGCCAAATAGTCATGTCGGGCTTCTCCTTCTCCACAACTTTGCTCAACATGCAGCCCCTATTTGAGAAAGAGGGAATAATTGGCCGGAGTGGAGGTTTTCAAATCTTATAAAAAAACCCAGAAAACCCAGAAGAATCCAGAGAATTGAAACCCAACCCCTAATTGTGCCAATGGAGCTCGGCACAATTCACCCCAATTAATCCCAACCCAGAGCCATGTCAAAACCCATAAATCGGAGAAGATCCGGGGAGGGAATCAAACGACAATGAGTTATTTTGTTCGTCGCCGCTCTTGCTCAGATGCGGAGGTCTTTAAAGGAAGATGAATCGCTTCTGTTAATCTTTTGGAGCCTTGTCGTCGTTGTCCCTCTTTCCCACTATACGACTGCTCGGCTTCCGTTCGCCACCACTGCTAACTCTCCTTCGAATTTGTTCATCGAAGTCTAGGGTTCACTATACTCAATCTGATCTACATGAAGAAAGGAATCCCGAAATAGCAGAAGAATTGATTATGCATCAACCGATTTTGGCTAAAGGCAGAAGAATCAACGGATTCGGAGAAAAGGAGAAGAAGGAAGGAGAGAGGAGATGGGAAAGGGTTAGAAAGGGATTAAAGTGGGAAGGCAACACCTTGAACGCGTTATTTCAAAATAACACCTCTCTAGGTGTTATTTAGAATAACTCGATTTTGTGGTATTCTCAAATAACTCAGCCCACAATACCACATCAACAAAAAATTTTACTAAACGAGTTATTCTGGACTAAATAACTCACAACGAGTTATTTGGGCCAGAATAACTCATGAAAAAAACCCATCCAAACGACCACTAAAGTTACCTAATGTATGAAACTAAAAGAGGAAAACAGAATAAAAAGAAAACAGAAACATCTGCTTCATTCCCCACCGACGATTTTGGTGACTTTTAATTCATAAAACCAATAAAATCTTCTTTTTTATTTAATATAATCAATACAATCTATAATTACCTAATGTTTGAAACTAAAGGATAGTATAATAAAAATAAAAATAAAGGAAAGGAAAGGAAAGGGAACATCTTACGTATGCTAACCTAGCAAATAGCATCCCATTTTTCCTTTTCCAAATTTGTCAGTTACCTTCTTCTTTTCCCTCTCACCGAGTCTTCGCCAAAAATTTGCTATATCTATTCCTAAATTGTCCCACTAGGCACTAAGTATGATTATTTTATTTGAAAGATTTGTAACTTACCGGTTTTTTATCGATTAATCTCGGTTATCCGATAAATCTTAAACCTCTTATTAATCCGGATCGTTGTCCGGTTCGGTTTGACAACACTGGTTTTTTCTCTTTTGTTGCCGATTCAGAGACATTAGTTTTTTACTACTCTCCGATGGGTTTTCGATCGATCGGTTTCCTGGTGCGAATTTCCAAACAATCGCTTGAAAAAAGGTTTTGATCTTGTGAATGATTGAAGCCCTGTAATCACTCGTATCAATTACTATGATATTGTGGCGAACTATGGAGAGATTTGGAGTTGACTCTTTCGGGCCAGTGTGTATGATCGAATGGCCCTTTTTTCCTTGTACATTCCTTTTCACTCGTATCAATTCCGCCGGGTGAGATGCGGAATTGGTGCTGGCTTGGTTACGCAGAAGGAGGATCTGGCGCCGTTGATGGGCTGACTTGGGAGCTCCACCGAGGAAGCGCCCCTTTCAATTTAATAATTATAATAATTTTTTTATTTTATGGTAAAAATGAGTTGGACATTAAAATAGATTAAATTTGATTTTATTTATTATTTCTTAATTGTCACGTCACTAAGTTAACGGTCAATTTTGAGAGTTGACCGCCACATCAGCCAAAGTTAACGGAGTTGGACGGAGAGTGACCAAACGTGAACGATTTCAGTAAACTGAAGTACCACCAATGGATTTAAATATTTAAGGTGACCAAACTTGAACTTTTTTGTAATCTCAACGACCAACCATGCAATTAACCCAAATTCAAGCATTTTTTATATCATAGTCAAATGAAATAGTAGACATATATGTTTACAATATGTAAAAGTAACGACAGTCGATACTAATCGATCTGTCGATGAAAGAGACATTTATGCCACCAAATGGGCAGATCTATTAGTTCCTAAGAATAGAGTGACAAAAACACTGAAACCTAAAAAAGGATATAAGCTTCCGCCGCTACACCACACCGCCTTAAGATCTTTGTGCCTTCACCTAGGATCTGTGATGTGAGTTCATCATCCCCACCTCTCACCGCACATATCCACAAATAGCAGAGGCATGCGGACAAGGACCCCATAAAAGGAAAAATGATCTGCAAACATAACAAACATAACTCGAATGAGAACTGCACCAGGATAAAAGGCCCAACAAGGCCTTGAAGCCCCAACAGTTGAGGGCTCGATGAGACAAGCCCCTTAGCGGGTGGAGTGACTTGTGTCTTGCAGGATGCAAAGCCACCTGGCAATGGTAATTGACACGCCCCTTTCCACCACCTCATCGCCTTGCTTTTGCCAAAGGAAAAGATAGGATCGCCACCCCACCGCTTCTTCCGCTTGCTGGACGACAATGATAGGGCCAAAGATAGGAATGGTCACACCACCGTCCACCAGGCAGCGGCCAAGATAAGGCCTACTAAAAATGCTGACGTCAACTTCCATCGGCTTTATTCTCCGGCGCTAAAATGCGGAAAGTTGAAGGTGGCGGAGGGGACCAAAATATGTTGTCCTACATCAATGTATTGAAACACCGAAAGAAAGCAGAAACCTAAAAAATCTCAAATACATCAGCTACCCGAAATCATATAGGATCTAAGGCAAACAAGTCACGAAAGGCAAGTGGAGAGGAAAGAAAATTGAATAGGCCAACCAAAATGAAGAGATAAATTCTCAAATCGGATTGAGCAAAACATGGGAAACACAATCAGGTTAAAGACACCAAAGTCCAAATAATTAATCAGAAACCCCAAATCAAAGCCAGGTAAAAACCATAAAGAGCTGGCGGAAGTTGGAAGAAATTCACCAAAGAGGGAGAGGCAGTAGCAAAGCAGAGAGAAAGATTGATGATCGTTGTGGTCGGAATCAGCTGACCGTAGTCCATGCTGGTACTTTGACCAGGCGAACCGCCCTCCCGCCCCCACGAACAACATCTTTGCCGAAGACTGCTGACCGTAATCCACCCGGAGCTTGAGCAGAAGCAGCGGTCGGAGATGGAATTGGAGCAGAAGCGGCGGATCTTGTTAAGAACGGAACAACAACAAGAACGAGGTTACCTAATCTGGAGCTGAGTCGCGCACTAGGTCACTCTCTTTAAGACGTTCGCGGCACTGCCCTCGATGAGCACGACAGACTATCAACCGCTCGTCTCCAGGATAATACAACTCCTCTCTCTACTCGCGGTTTTGTGCGAAAACCGAAGCTCTCTGAACACTCTCTCTATTGTGTTTATGCTCGTTGTGGTGTGTTTAAAGGGGCTGGGGAGGCGGCTATTTATAGGAGTTGAAACCCTAGGAATATACCCTCTTGCTTGGGGAATAAGTCGGATTAATTAAGATAATTACTTCCTTAATTAAAATCATCTGTTAAGATAATTCCTACGGGATTATCCTTCGAATATTCCGTTTAATCGATTATCCTTAGAATATTCCGTTTAATCGATTATCCTTAGAATATTCCTCAGAATAACCGATCAATAATTAATTATTAGATAATTATTTTCGTTCGGAATTTCTCCCAAAAATATATAGTCTCAAGCCAACCAACCGACCGACCGGTCGGTCGGATGGACGGACGGCGCCCACGCGCGCGTGTTTGTGGTGGTCCGTTAGGTCCTCCCTCTCCCACAAAAGTGGGTCACCCCAAGGGGCATGCCCTTAGGAGAGATGCTCCTATCTTTATACACATTTCACCAAGTAAAACTACCAATGTGGTAGTTTTTCCAACTTGAGACTCTATAGCTTTCAAAGCTATTCACTCATTTCCAACAATCCCCCACTTGAATAGTTTTGAAACTATCTCTGAGCATTAACATTTCCATAAGATCGGGCATAAGCTAAGGTATCGCGAAGATTTGAACCTTAGCGCAGTGGTTACACTTCCAATTTCATAAGGGTGACTCGTAATCTTGAACCCTATCTCAGACATTGTAGCACACCGGATCTTTTCATTGAGTTGTGTTCTCTTCTTAGCCCGTGCGTTTATGGCCATGCACGTTATCCTGGTTTAGTGAACGCTCTAGCAACTTTGTGCCTCCAAAGTTCCATAGTGAGCGGCCCCACTCCCACATTCACATAGGTGAGTCTATCAGAAATACCCCCAAAGTAAAGTACTCCACCCCACATAGGGTGTAGATCTCATTAAGAGTTTTTAACTTAACCTCCATTGTTTTGGGTTTCATGTTTCCCTATGCATGAACTTTTCGCATACTACTTATGACTTATTATTACCCATTGAACCCATTTCTTGGGATCTCCAGTCTATTGGGTCGGGTTACCATCACTTGTAGTTCGTGGTTCGGTAGGCATAAGTCCCATACCCTTGGTGGTATTCTGGACTTTCTCTCTAGGTAATCCTTTCGTCAAAGGATCAGCTAGATTCTGTTCGGATCTTATATGATCCACCCTCACTGCTCTTATCGTTAGGAGTTCTCTTACAGTACTGTGCTTACGACGAATCTGTCGTTTCTTTCCATTATAGAACCGGTTCTCAACTTTAGCGATAGCTGCGGTACTATCACAATGGATCAATACCGGAGGGACCGGCCTTTCCCATAGGGGAATCTCTGACAACAATCCTCTCAACCAACTTGCTTCTTCACTAGCCGTTGCTAGTGCTATCATCTCTGATTCCATAGTTGATTGAGCTAGGATTGTTTGTTTCTTTGACTTCCAAGACACAGCTCCACCAGCGATGTTAAAAACATACCCACTGGTTGCCTTGGAGTCATCTGATAGGGTATTCCAACCGCATCACTATACCCTTCTAGTACAGCAGGAAACCTTTGATAGTGTATACCAAGGTTTGCTGTTCTCTTGAGTTATCTCATGACCCTCTCTATAGCATTAAAATGCTCTCTACTAGGACAGCTGTTAAACCTGCCAAGCAATCCCACGACATATGCAATGTCTGGTCGAGTGTAATTCGCAGCATAACAGAGACTGCCAATGATGCTACAATATTCTGATTGTCTTACACTGTCTCCAGTGTTCTTAAATATCTTTACACTAGCATCATACGGAGTACACGCAGGTTTACAGTCGAAATAGTTATATTTCTTCGAGATCTTCTCTATGTAGGTAGATTGATCTAGAGAATAACCATTTGTTTCTAGTTATCTGGATTCCAAGCATAAACTTTGCTTCTCCCAGATCTTTCACCTCAAAGCTCTCTTTCAACATGGCTTTTGCTTCATCGACCACGTGAATATTTGTACCAAATATTAACATGTCATCTACATACAAACATATGATAGTGCAAGTGTTATTCTCTGACTTGCAGTAAATACACTTGTCACTTTCATTCACCTTAAAGCCATGTGAGAGAAAGAGAGTGTCAAAGTTCTCATGCCACTATTTTGGAGCCTGTTTCAAACCATATAATGATTTGTCTAACTTACAGACTTCTGAGGCATGTTCGGGGGATAACAAACCCTTCTGGTTGTTCCATATAGATTTCTTCATCCATATCATCGTTCAAAAAAGCAGTCTTAACATCCATTTGATATACCACGAGATTGTTCAAGGCTAGGGATGGCAAAAATATCCATAAACATGGATATCCACCCGAGTCCGGCCTAATCGGGTAGGGTAAAACCCGAACCCGAAGGACATTTAGTGGGTACGGGTAAAACCCGAACCAGAATATTGCTGGTAATGGGTGGGCATGGGTTTCTCACTATCCAACCCGAACCCGCCCGATTATACATATACATATATATTTTTTCTTGATATAATTATTATTTTTCTCTAACATATTTTATATTTAGCAAATAAATATAATATTTTCATGAAATTGTGTTGTTTTAATTAATTTTTCTCATTCTAGTTAATTATTGTTGCACTTTTCCTCTTATGTAATGTAAGAATACGTGTGAATGTTAACATATTGGTTGGAGTAATGAGAAATAATCACCCATGGATAACCGTGGATACCTGAAACCCGAACGGGTATGGGCATGGTTTTGATTTTTTACCCGTTTTACATGTGGGTATGGGTATGAGTAAAACCTGAACTGCTTTGGGTAGGATAACAGATATGCATTATCCGGCCCCGACCAGACCCATTGCCATCCCTATTCAAGGCAGCAAGAGCAATCATGACACAAATTGATGTTATTCTAGATACTGGTGAATAGGTATCGAAGAGATCTATATTCTCTCTCTGCCTGTAGCCCTTAACTACTAGGCGAGCTCAGAACCTTTCGATTGCATCATCAGGTTTCCGTTTCGTTTTTAGAACCCATTTATTACCTAATACTTTGCAGCCAGGAGGTAAGTCTGTTAGATGCCAAATCTTATTAGCTTCTAACGATTTCATTTCATCTATAAATGCCTCATTCCAAAAGTCTGCATCTATGGAAGTTAATGCTTCCTGTAAACTTTTTTTTATCTTCGAGGGTGTATACTGTAGTCAAGTCATCACCAAAATCTTTAGAGATTCTAGCTCTTTTACTTCTTCTGAGTTCATCCTCAGATCCAACACCCCCACTAGTTCCGTTATCTCTAATAGCGGGTAGTACATTACCCCAACTATTTCTCGTTTTAAATGGAAATCATGTCTCAAAGAAATCAGCAACAATGGATTCTACTATAGTACGAGCATTCAAATCATAGAATCTATATGCCTTACTATTGGCTGCATAGCCAACGAAGACACATTCATATGCTCGACTAGCCAACTTAATCCTCTAAGGATCCGGAATTCTTACGTATGCCAAACAGGCCTACGTTCTTAAATAGGACATATTAGGTGGCTTATTCTTCAAGATCTCATAGGGTGAGAATTTTTTTTTTTTTTTGGAAGACGATTTAGCATATACCAAACCGTCAACAAAATATCACCCCACCAAGAAGAAGTAACTCCAGAATTGAGCATAATAGCCACAACTAATTCTGTAAACGTCCTATTTTTTGGCTCAACTTTACCATTCATTTCTGGTAAATATGGTGCCATGGTTTCATGAATGATACCATGTGAGCTATAGAATTCCTTGAAGGGATTAAAGTCATACTCTCATCCTCTATCACTCCTAGTTGAAGGGTTTTTATCTTTCGATTGCACTGATTTTCAAATTCAACCACAAATACCCTGAACATATCAGAGCAATCATCTATGAAAGTGATAAAGTATCTCTTGCCAGACCTAGTTAAGGTCCCATCTAGTTCACAAATATCAGAATGAATCAGATCTAAGGGTTCTGATTCTTTACTCACATATTTATGGGGCGTTTTCATTATTTTAGCTTGGCTACAGAAATCACATTTATCAAATTCATTCGTTGAGAGTTTAGGGATATGTCGTAGCTTGCTTAAATTCTTCACAATTCGTGTGTTCACATGACAAAGACGAGCATGCCAAACATTCAAATCACACACCATGCAAACTGAAGAATTCAGCTTATTAATTTCGACATTCAACTTGAACATCCCATTACATGCATATCCCTTTCCCACAAAACTCTCATTCTTGGTAAGGGCATACAAATCTAAGCCAATAGATTGATTAAACCCAACCTTATTAAGAAGATATCCCGAAACAAGATTTTTCCTTATCTCTGGAGTGTGCAACACATCCTTGAGTACCATCTTCTTCCCAGAGGTGAAGTTCAACTCCACTTCACCAGAACCAGCAACCATAGTGGTGTGAGTAGTCCCCAACAACACTTTCTTGTCAGCAGGTGCTTCTGTGTATGTTTTAAACATAGCACGATAGTTGCATACATGCTTCGATGCACCTGTATCCAGCCACCATCCTTTTGAGTCACCGGTGAGGTTGACTTCAGCGATCATATCCGTGATCATGACTATCAAATCCTCTTTTGTCAAGTTAACCCTGGCCGTAGCAGCAGGGTTTTGCTTGTTCCTGGGCTTTTTTGCCATATGACCCGGTTTACCGTAGTTATAGCAGATAAACGGTGGGTCCTTATTAGAGGTTTGGGCCATGACCCTTTGGTTACCTCGAGAGGCACCATTCTGGTGGGGCGAACCTGTTGGTTCTTACTCTTAAACCCTTTCTGGTTAGGTTTAAGAGCTCTAGGGGTGGGTCGTTTAGTAGTGACGACCATCACCTCTTCTTTCATATCCTGCTTGCGGGACTCTTCCTCAATCCTTAGGCGAGTAATCAAGCTTTCCAGTGAAATTTTTTTGGTTTTATGTCTAAGCATATTCTTAAAATCTTTCCACGAAGGGGGCAGCTTATCAATAAAGCAACTTGAAATTGATCGTCCAGAGGCATACCTTCAGAGACGATCTCATGAGCTATTTTCTGAAGTTCCTGGGACTGAACTTCGACAGACTTGTCATCGACCATCTGGTAGGGCAGGTGGCGGCTGACAGCATACTTCTTAGCTCCAGCCTCCTCCGTGTCGTACTTCTCTTGGAGTGCATCCCAGATCATCATTGCGGTGTTCTTGCTGTCCGCATAGTAGTCGTAGAGATCGTCTGCCAGGCCGTTGAGGATGTAATTCTAGCATAGGAAGTCATGCTCCCTTTCCTTAGCAGAAGCAACCCTCTCATCATCGGTCGCTTCTTCTGACAGTTCGACAGGCATGTTGGTGAGGTAGTGTGTGCCAACTTCTTGGTCGTCAGGTAGAACTCCATCTTTTGTCTCCAGCGACGGAAGTTGACTCAAACGAAGCGAAAGGGTCGATTGATATCGACAGCACCAGATCCGGTCCGGCCATGTTGTTCTGTTCAGTCGACATAGCAGCAGCCAAACGTCTTAAAGCTATTCACTCATTTCCAACATATCTTATTATGAAATTCGTTTACTATTCAACTTCATGATCATAGGATGACTGTATTTTGGTTTGTCTGTATTTTGGTTTGTCTAATCATAATGATGCTGTTGGTCGGCGAAGTGTTTTCCAATATGCCAAAATCAAACTTAAGAATTTCTCATTACCACCCCAAATTCAAGCATTACATCTAACTTTTTGAATGGGGCTTTTGTGAATAGAGATGCCAAGTCTAACTTTTTTCCTTTTGCAGCTTCTAGCGAAGACTGTAACTTTCCCCATCATTCCGATTAAATAAAAGCCAAGCAGATGCATTATAAAAAAAGGGGGCTACTGGTCATATCGAAATAATCAACTCCAACTGCTCAAATCGATCAGTTTTATGCCAAAAAGTACGAGCCAGACTTTCTGCTCTTCTGGATGAATAAAAACACCATTCCGGAACTATGTGCTTCATGAACCTTCGTCGCTTCTCATTCTTTTTCCATTTCTTTGAAGCAGCAGAAACAAAGAGTTGTCTGTCTAACACACGAGAGGATTCCAGCTGAGCACATTGATCCCTCCCTAGTTATTGGAATAGGAAAAGCAGTCACTCATTTTTTAACCCGCTTACAAAGGAAAAAAATTGTCAACTGCCAACTAAAAAGAGCCTACCAGGAGGTTTTCTCAAGCAGTCTTGGCTAGTTTATTATCCGCTGGCATCACGTTATCAGGAAGGATGAGCTCTGGGGGTGTTTCACGGACAACACCCAGCATCGAGTCATACTCCTCATCCCGGTTGGCAAATTTCTTCCGGAGCATCTTCTCGAATTCGATCTCGTCGAAGCCTTTGCCATTTTCAGCTGCGTGGACCTTAGCCAGATTGGTGTAGTTTAAAGCTGACTGGGAGATAAAAGCCATCTCTTCTTCGGTGAGCTTCCTTAAGAACTTAGCTGGGTTGCCTCCCCAGACCTGAACATGGAACATCCACATGAATGGTTGGTTATCAATAGTTAAATTGGGAAACCACAATTAGGGCCTGAGTCCTCCTATTTACAGTTCTTGAGAGTGATCATGAACATGAGTTTCCATTATTGATGCTTGATACAAGCTGCAAGAAGGAAGTAGCACCAAGCACATGATGCTAATAAAAACCAAGTAAAACTAAAAGAAGGATGTCATAGCATAATGGCGAAGATCCTAAGCCTGCTGCCATAGAGAGGAAGCCACTTTGGTTCTACAGCTAAAAACTACGGAGTGTTTTTAATAAGGTTTTAAAAGAAAATGTTGATAATATGTATATGAACATAGAACAAGGTGTCTTCGCATTTTTAAGGAAACAAATTAATTTTTTGAAATGCCTATAATGGGTAAAATAGATTATCTTTGTAAGAAACCAATTCTTATGCATGATATGGAGTTTATAAATTAATAGTTTCAATGTCCGCCATGAATAGTAGTTGTATTTAAACGTTTAGATATAGAGTTTTAAGTATATTTTTTTTATAAATATCTATATCTAACATCTAACAATTAAACTTGACGCCATCACTCTGAGAATTCCAGCAGGAATCCATTACTAACTTCTAGTGCGTAAACACAAGGACTCTAGGCTATAAGCATAAGTTATAACATTTTGATTCAAAATGCGTACCCAAAGAGTACCTTGAACAACTCAACTAATTATAGCTACATACCAAAAGGTAAAGTCTACAACAGCAAATGCCTATATTCACAAGGCTAGCACGATAAGAACTGTTGTGAACCACAAGATCATTGAGCAATAACTTGCTCACCTCACCACAGGGGATCCTTGTATTCTGCCTTACAAGAGCTCCAGCAGCAACCATGGCATGTTTCTCTACATAAGAACCATCAAGCAATGTAGCCCCCATACCAACAAACGCCTCATCCTCCACCGTACATCCATGTAAGACAGCACTATGACCTGCCACCGTACATAGCGGTAACGTCATCGAAACAGATAGGCAAAAGAAAACTGAACTTGTATTGCGAATAAACCACTCAGGGGGTAACAGTAGCAACGAGGATGCCACTTACCAACCGTGACATTATCACCAATAATAGTTGGTAGAACCTTTCCACTTAGATTGGTTTTTGCCACATGAACAAGTGAATTATCTTGTATGTTGGTTCCTGTTCCAATGTGGATGCTATTCACGTCACCTGCATCAAATATCCGAAATCAGACAAGAAAGGCTTGCATAATGCATGACGGCAAGAGAACCATTAATGACCTAAGAACAAGACCATATGAGATATATATATATATATATATATGATTAAAAGGAGATAGAAAAGACAGAGCCAAAGTTGTCTATTTGCAAAAGGGTTGCTAATCAGAAAGCAGCAGCACCTCTCAGAACACATCCATACCAAATGGATGAGCCTCTTCCAAACTGAACATCGCCAATGATAGATGCACTGGGAGCAACGAATACATCCTTATCAACAGCAGGAGCTTTGTCAAAAACGTTCATTAGAGTCCTGTGCCTGGAAACTAGTTCCCAGAAGCGTTTGAGTTAGACACAAGAATAACGCATCAAACACTACCTGTAAAGTTTTACAGGTCAGGTTTAGCACACAACACATCTATTAATGAATCAAAGCAGAATGATGTTAAGCTGCCAGATTGAGATCATAATACAAAATGCAGTCACAATAGGATGCATTTGGCTTAAAATAATAGCAATGCCATGGGCAGCAGCTACTGTGCTACCCTAAGTTGGAGCTCACAAAGAACACATGAGCACTGACAAATGATTCGAGTTATTCGATGAAAAAACAACTCTTCAGCTCCTACATTTCCATCTAGTCGCGCTCCCACTCTTACGAAACAGAAAATGAAAGAAACAGGGTTAGAAGCATAGGAAATAGCAAACTGGAGCAACCAAAATCCACGCCCTGGGGACTAATTCGGTTCACGGGGGAGTGAAGCGAAACGAAAATCGGGAGGTAGAAGAAGAAGGGAGTGGAAGGAGCAAACTCACGCTGTTCGCGGAAGGAATGGTTCCCCTGGAGGCGGCAACCGAGGCGATCGAGGGCTTGGCCGGTCTCCCGGATCCAGAAACCGACGGTGTAGACAGCCTTCCCCAGCGTTCCCATGGTTCAGAGCGGCGGCACTTAATTAGCTCAATCGATCGATGATTGATTGCGGGTTTTTGGATGAGAAGGGATTCGAGAAATGGAGAGAGAGGGAAGAAGAAAGTGGAGAAGGAAGGAATAGCATAGGCCAGAGAGAACATCGGAGTGGCGACTAGTAAGTAAATAAATCTCCCTCAATCAAAACGCATCTCTGCGTCTGCGACCTGCGGACTCAGCGTGTGCAATGCACAAACGTCAAACAGCAACAGGTGTTTCCTCTACTGTGGTTGGGAATGGTCCAGTCCGGTTAAACCAAATCGGATTATCCCAGTTTATAGATTCAACTTTCGGTAAAAATAGAAAATCGAACAGTTTCTTAAACCCTTTTTAACCGAAACATGACCACATAATTTTGTATTGGGATGAACAGTTTTGAAAAAGCTATAAATGAATTCCTAATTAATTATCCAGTATATTCCCATATACGAAAATAAGAAGGATAAGTAATAAAAGGAATATTATGAAGATAATTAGATTTAATTATCTTAATAGAGCATATTTTAATTATGGGAGTAATTATCTTCCTAATTAAGTGTGACTTATTCCACACGAAAAGGGAATATTCTAGGGGTTTGCTCCTATAAATAGAGCACTCCCTATACCCTCTAAAGTCTAAACACACAATCAGAGAGCATAAACATGAGAGAGAGTGTATTCAGAAGAGTTCCGGTTTTCGCACAAAACCACCGAGCATCTTAGATTAATTGTTTTATCCTAGAGGCGACCTGTTGATAGTCTGATGTGTGCAACGAGGGTAGTGTCGCGAACGTCTTAAAGAGAGCGACCTAGTCCGCGCCTCAGCTACAGATCGGTAACCCTAATTTTTCCTGTTCGGTTTCTAACATTTTGTTCCGGACCAGTTTAAATCTAAAAACCGAAATCACTTCCCCGCAAAAAAACCAGCATTTAGCTTAAAGGCTCGGCCCCTTCTTGACCATTTTGGTACAGAAACTCGACAGAATATGATTATACAAGAGCTATATGGTACAAGTTTGTTGGGGTTCATGTTGGTTTTCTCCAAAAATCTTGATCTCTTCTTTAGTATTATTCTATGTATTATTTGACAGAGATATTTTTGGCTCATGACGCATTTACTAGTTCCTTAGGGGATTTATTTAGCGCTCCAAATTCTTTATTGTAGTCTCCTGACCTCGAAAGTCGAGTGTATGCTCTTAGCTAATCGTCAATCATTCCTACAAATTGATCAGGATAGCTCCACTTTTGGCCCTTGTATAGAGGTCACTATCAAATCCATGTGGTGTTGAATTTAATTTATTCACCCAATTTGGGTTTGATGAATTTTAACCATTCCAATTAGCAGCGTAAAGATATAGTGGCATTGGTAGATGATATCTTAGGACAGTCTGTTGGCTTTTGACCTCCAAGAAGTGACCAAGATTCAGTTGGCATTTGGGTGCAAGCTCTATAATTGTTGTTCATACTATTATCATATCTCCTATAGGCCGCCATTGGATATGGCAGTCGATTATATTGGTAGCTACCACTAATGAAATCGCGAGTTTGAATGTAACATATAACAAGATAGTTGACTTCTAGTGTTGGAAATTTATCTATAGGCTCACAATATTGTCCATCGTGATCGTCTTTGCCGCACCGCTCACAGACAAATATTTGTGTCGACGACAGTTTTTTAGCAGTTTTAGTGGCATGAACTTCTTTCGTAAGTTCATCAAGTTGGTGGAAGATGTCGGCGTAGGGATCATATGATCTATGTGTCCTCTTAACGGTCACAAGAGCATTTATCCTAGACCAATATCAAGATTTAGCAGCCATGGACACAAAGAGTTCCATAACTCGCGGAGCAGACATTGCATTATGTCACCTTGGGCAACCTAATTTACCATCACAGTGGTATTTAAGTCGAGAATTTTCCCGAAGATGTTCACAAGCTGCTCTTCCAAAAAAGCATGGTGTGAGAAAGATTGAATAAACTCTTTGAATCGTTCCCATGCATCGTGCAAAGATTCAGAAGTCCGTTGCTGAAAAACCAGCAATCTGGTCTCTCGATTTGTCAATTCTCCATGGAGGGAAGAAATATTCTACGAAATCCTAAACCAGTGCCTCCCATGTACAAAAAGTACCTGGCGTTGGCAATTCAGCCAGCTCTTTGCTTTCCCCGAGATGGAGAAAGGAAACAGTCATAGCCATATTGCATCTGGCTCAACAGTTGGATGTTGTGCAAAATCACATATCTCCAAAAATGTTTTGATGCGTTCGTTGAGATTTTCGTTATCTCGCCCCTAAATGTTCCAAAATTATGCACCATGTGGATCGTACAAGTCCACAACTCAAAGTTTGGGATATTTGCACTCGTAGGATGATAACACCTAAATTGTTGTTATTTACCCTTTATATTTAGGTTTGTTTCATAATAATTCATGTACATAATCAGAAGAATATCATCGATTGCACCCCTCTTTCGTTCCTATTTAATTATGTCATCATTTTAGGGTGCTTTTGACTATACATGTGAATTAGGTACGAAAAAGGACACAAGTGTAGCAAAATGACAGGAAGATGAAGATCACAGCCTGGATGTGGAAGATCTCGGCCGAGACATCAAACTGTGAAGCAGGAGAGAAGATCGCGGCCTGAGGACCATAGTTCCCGGCCGCGAACTTGGAGCCCTTAGGCGCGAACTTTGTGAGGAAGCTACCCAGGAGATGACAGAAACTTTGTGATGCATCGATAATCCTAGGCCGACCATTTTTAGCTACGCAAGGACCATTTTTAATTTGTGTGGAAGCAAGATCACTTTAAGGTTTGGAGAGGAGGAGATACGCTACAAGATAACTCTCATCCCCAATCTTCACAAGTACTACAAAATGGGAAGATTTAAAGATGAATTGTAAGCCGGTCACACCTCCTTCCACACCACCTTCAAGGCCCGAGATAGAATGGTTCAATATGGTATCTCATGTTGATTCTCTAGATAGAAGAATTGAAGGTATGGATGATACTTGCAAACTTAATAAGAGATCGGGGAAAGAGAAGTTTCCTTTTACTACTTGTTTTGAAGGATAACTTACAAAATCAAGGGAATGACGCATGAAGAGATTTCTTCCAACATGGAAAGTTCTCGAACTTCTCATCCTTGCCACGACCATTGGAAGAAGAAAAATCGGAATCAAAGGAAGTAGTTGTTGAAGAACCGAATTCACCATCACTCTCTCCCCACCTCACAAGGGAAATTTATGAAGAAAGTCAAGCCAATGTTAGAGGCGACATGGAGCATCTTACTCATTTTTATTTGGACAATGACCCCATCACAATTTAAGACCAAACTTCTTTGGCTTCAAAGACTTCCTCTTGGCGAGAGTACATGTCTCAACTGATACTCTTTGCACAACTTAGGATCGAAGACGCAATTCGTTCCAAGATTCAGAAGTTGGAGTGGCTGAAATTGTTATCCATTCAGGAGAATATCTACAGGGTACTTGTTTTGGAATTCGTTAACACCCTTACCATTCAAGATATGCGAGGTGCTGCCGACCTTCAAGACAACATCCAATTCAAACTAGGAGGAGGACATCGCCAAATTTCAATCCGATAATTTACAAGAGCCATAGATATGTACCCGACGGATTTCATTGACTCACCAGAAGGTTTTGCTACCTTGACAAGGGAATCCGACTTCCCATGTTTCAAGCCTTTCTATGAATCCGAAGTCAAGAAGTCTAACATTCGATTGTGGGATGTCAAGCTATCAAAGGCTAGTGAGATGAAACCGGAGTGGCGGTTTATCTACCATGTGATTGCTAGGTTCGTGGGTTGAAAGAGCCGAAGCAAGGGCAATTTGACTGCCCGAGACGTCATTTTCTTCCAAAGCATGCATCTACCTCAATCGCTTCTCCTCGGTTTGGCATTTGGGGAGCACCTGGACTTCCATTTCCAACCACTAACACGTTGGATATGGAGGGTACCGTGTTCCGTCTTCCGGAAGCCACGACGGTAAGAGGACAAAGAGGGCTAGTCAACAAGGAAGAACAAGCTAAAAGCATGAATGAGGGAGGAGAGGCTCATCCATCCACTTCTCATCTAGTTCCCCTACCATTCAACCATGCAAGGGATTTCCAATTTGAAGCAATGATAGCGACGATCCTTCAAAATCAAAAGAGGGAGAAGGAAGCGCGACTCCGTATCATGGCGTGCATCCATTCTATAATGAAGAAGATGGATATCCCGATTGAAGATGTATCGCCCCAACTTGTTCACTCACCTCCCTCTTTGCCATTCGAAGAAGAAGAAGGACCCTCCGAGGAGGATTAAGTACTAGGCATCTAGGGCCTAAGTTCTATGTTTTCTTTTTCTTTGCTCTTCTTTTCTTTTTCTTTAAACAATGATTAACTATTGCTTTCTTTTCGTTTTAATTTTTGTAACTTAATTCTCGTAGTAGTAGTAGTAACCGTACTAATACTATCTACTTACGTACCTATGTCTTATAATCGTCTTCCTCTCTTTCTTATGTGTTTTATCGTTGTGAAAACCACCAAGAAGACAAAGACTTACACTTTTGTACCTTCACCAACCCACAAACCAACCTATGGTAACCTTCACGATTTTCTCTTTTGAATCTCCCACATTGAGGACAATGTGTCGCTCAAGTGTGTGTGTGGGGGGGGGGGGGGGGGGGATTGTGTGTGAATGCTTGAATGATTATCATGATTAATTGAACCATGAATGACTAGTATCCTCCCTTGATTACGAATGTAAGACGTTGATGATTGGTTATGGGAGTGTATGCTAGTGATTGAGTGTTTGTGTGGTGTTGAATGGATTATTGATTGTGTTTTGGAACCTAGAATGCAATACCCAAACTTTTTCAAATTTGAGGGTTAAAACACCTTGCTTTTTGCAACTTTCTAATCAATATGCTTTGAATTGATATATGATTGATGTGTTGTGTTTGATAATTTTTAATATTTTAGGAAGAACATGTATGCGGGACTCTCGACCATTTTTGAACTCGAAACTTTTACAAATATGTGCTCAATTTTGAAAAAATCTTTTGAAAAAGGTTCTCATGTGAGAGACAGCCAACCATAGTGTTTGAGTTAAGCCGTCAAAGGGATTTTATCTTGGCTCGGAGTGCCATTCGAGGATGTGTTTGGGGATCAGATAGCTTTATTGCGTTCGAACCATCATTAACTACTTACCATCCCCTGAACACCTCTCCTCACGGAATTGTATGACAAGGTA